CCAGCCTGCGGCTTGTGACCCAGCTCCGGGTGCCCCCTCTGCTGCTCCGGGGGATGGAGCTGTCGCCTCTGGCCTCGGTTTCTTGCTGAGCCCCGTCTGCTGTCCTGTCCCTTGCAGGTTCTGACAATGGCTGAGGATTTGAGGGCAGCGGTTGCCAGCCAGACGAAGAGACTGAACAGCAGCAGCGAGGTGGTTGAAAGGGTGGAAGAAAATGGACATCAAAATAAAAGGTTGAAGAGAAATGCGGATGAGGAAGATGCAGAGGATCAGAATAAAAAGTCACCCAAAAGGAAGATTGTGTTGTTGATGGCGTATTCAGGGAAAGGCTACCATGGGATGCAAGTATGTGGTTTGGCAAAACAACGTGGCCTGCTTTTTTTTTTGAAGTCTGTTGGGTTTATAGCTGGAGTCGTACTGACCGAGTCGGGAAGCAGTTGCAGCTTGAAAAGCTGGGGCAGGAACAGTGCGTGCCGGGATTGAAATGGCTCGGTAGTAACTTGAATAAAACAAGTCAGTGGTACATCTCCGATATTTGGTGATTCTAGTGAGTGAGTCTGCCTTTAGTATAGAGCATCAGCAGAAGATCTTGCAAAAACTGCTGCAGACAAGGGTCTTGAGGAGACTGAAAGCACAGGCACTGCAGTTCTGTCAAAACCTGAAGGGTGTCTGGTGATCCCCTTCTGACCAGTGCTCCAGCTGCTGGTGAAGCTTTACATTTCAAAGCGGTCGGGCTAAGTTTCTTCTAGGTTAGACCTCAAGCTGTCTCACTACACGCAGATTCCGGAGAACTGAGCTGCGTATTTGAGTGAAACAAATTTGCATCTGTGTTGCCGTCTCTTGTACTTCTAAAAAGATTGTCTGTACTTGAAGACGTTTTAAATTCTCCTTTTTCTGGTGCACTCTAATGGGGTGGCTTGTAGCAGTTTAGAAACAGGAAAAGTGTTGCAAGGCTTTGATGCCTGGATGTGGAAGAAAAGGGATGTTGCTTTGCGACAGCACCAGCCCTGCCCGTGCAGGGAGGGCCGTGTGGCACACGATATTGGCAGCGAGAGGATGAGTTCGCTCCATCTGCTGCTCCTTTCAGCATACTGCAAGCTCCCTGCACACTCGTGAGGCGTACTTTAAAAGCTCGACAGGATAACTGATAAGATTGCGCAGAGGGAAGGGTCTCTCATGTTTATGCAACAAAGTAGATTTGTTCAACAGCAGTAAACCTTAGGCTTGGGGGCGCATCCGTGTAAGTGCCTGTCAGCTATACTGCTCGCGTAATTGAATGGCGCGCATCGAGGGTGTGCGCTTTGAAGCCTTACACGCAAGTGGAGCTGCGCGTTTCTGTTACAGCTCATCTGTGAGCTGAGTGCAGGAGTCGCTGGAGAAAACCACAGTCTGCGTTACACAACAGCTCCGGTGAACTGAGGAAAAGAACCCCGTCTGATTTCTAGAAGCGGAATTGGCTGGGTTTGGAGCAGCAGCTGTTAACTTGCAGGCGCTGGAATAGTGGTTCATTGGTGCTGTTTCATGCAGTTGAAAGAATCATCAAAAAGCTCCATTGCAGAAGTATTGCGCAGTGAAATTAGAAATTATCCTTTACTTGCAATAACAAATAAAAGGTAAATTGGAATGTGGAAGTTTTATTAACACTCTCTGGTAAAGGATAGTTTTGTTAGAGAATGGCAGTGCTTTTAGGGCTGTGAAGGGAAGACTTTTAAAGAATTTCACAACAATGCTCGATTAACAAAATTTTTCAGTTACCGTCTTCAGTTATCTAATTATTACTATTTGTTCTATTTCTTATTTTTGCTATATATCCTCTTTTAGAGAAACGTGGGATCTTCACAGTTCAAGACAATTGAAGACGACTTAGTATCTGCCCTTGTTCAGTCAGGCTGCATCCCAGAAAACCATGGGGAAGATATGAAGAAAATGTCTTTTCAGCGGTGTGCTCGAACAGATAAGGTACGTTGGTGAGGGCCTGTGCTCTCATAAACTATGGTGTACTGGGATTGACTGGTAAAGCGATGTCTAGGGTGAGACCCAATAGCAAATACTATTCACAGTGAATGTTGCTTGAAACATCTCCTTTCATCCACTACTAAACTTAAGTACAAGCAAATATTTAGAAAGCGCAGGGTATTGATTAGATGGTGTTTGTAAAGCTGGTGCTTCCTACCTAAACTTTGTCTGTGCTTCTGTTGCGTTCATCTTCTTCAGCCTCCCAGCCTGCTGCTGCTGCTCCTCAGGGTTGTTGCTGCCTGGTTGACGTGGTGCTTGAGAGTTTAGCTGCATCTCAGTTGGTTTTAAGCCTGCCACAGCGGGGTTTTAAGTCTGAGCTGGAGTTCCTGGCTGATCTTATGTATCAGTCATTCCTTTTCAGTTGGTGCTTTACTTAATAGCAGTCAGATACAGGGAGGTGTCATGGAAGGGAGCGCAGTGTTCTGCTGTCTAAGATTGCTAAGGTGCTGTATAGCCGTACAGCGGGTCTTCCAGGAGTACTGACTTGCGTTTCTGCCTGTGGCCTTGCCTTTGCCTTGCTTCAGCCTGAAATGACCAGTGAGAAAAAGGAATGAACTTGTTCTTCAGCTATTTCAATTCTGCAAGCGCTATCCCAGGGCTTCCAAGGTACATAATTACGTGTTGGTGTGTTTTACGGATTTTATAGGGCGTGTCTGCAGCTGGACAGATTGTGTCGCTAAAGGTCAGGCTCATAGATGACATCTTGGAAAAGATCAATAACCATCTTCCTTCTCACATCAGAATTCTGGGTAAGGATACTGGAATGGGCAGAGAAAATGTTTTCAAAGAGGAGGTTTCTCCTGCAGAAGGTCTCTCCCTTACGAGTATAATTTTACTCATAAGAGGTTTAGTTTTAACATGAATCCGTATGTTTCTGTTAGTTTGAAAGTAGGGTCCGATAAAATAAACCTTTCTATCTTCTCATTGTATTTTAGTTAAATATCCTTGTTGGTAGGAGCGAGATGACAATCAGATTGTAACCTACTGATTCAAAAACCTAATGTCACTTTTAAAATAAGGTCTGAAGAGAGTCACTGGGGGATTCAACTCCAAGAACAAATGTGATGCCAGAACCTACTCTTACATGCTGCCGACATTTGCCTTTGCCCACAAAGACCAGGATGTGCAAGAAGAGGTTTACCGACTGGACAGAGAGACCCTTGAAAGAGTCAACAAACTGCTTGCGTGCTATAAAGGAACGCACAACTTCCACAACTTCACATCCCAGAAGGGACCCAGGGACCCCAGCGCCAAGCGGTACATAATGGAGATGTACTGCGGAGAGCCATTCGTGAGGGAAAACATAGAATTTGCGGTGATCAAAGTGAAAGGTCAGAGTTTCATGATGCACCAGATAAGGAAGATGATTGGGCTGGTGATCGCTATTGTGAAAGGTTATGCTGCCGAGTCTATCCTAGAGCTCAGCTGGGGAGAGGAGAAAGTAGATGTCCCCAAAGCTCCAGGACTTGGGCTGGTCTTGGAAAGAGTACACTTTGAGAAGTACAACAGGCGGTTTGGAAATGATGGGCTGCATGAGCCACTGGAGTGGACAGAGGAGGAGGAGAAGATCGCTGTTTTCAAAGAGCAGTATATCTATCCTACCATTATCAACACAGAAAGGGAAGAGAAGTCCATGGTGAACTGGCTGAACACCCTCTCCATTCATGACTTCAGCTCTTCTGCCGTTGGGATGCAAGCTAACAACAAAAATTCAAAGGTAATGACTGAAGCCATTATTTTATCAAATGGAAGCTGTCAGGTTGAGGTAGCTCTTCCCTTAGTAACATTTTTGTTTTCCATGAATGTGCCACGGAAGATGACAGTCATCTGGAGTATGAAATGTTTATTATCTTTTTTCCGTCTTCGTGCACTTGATGACAGTGGAATGAGCTGTAGAAAGTGTTATTTTTGCAGGGTTTTGCATGGGGCAGTTGAGGGAGGGAGGAAGGAATGCTTTAAAGCACAGGCCAATTTCTAGAATCATAAACTCACAACAGAAATTGTGGACATACTACCAGCCTTTGCTATTGTGAAGCTGTTTGAGAGACTAGTTTTCAGGTTGACAGTTTCCCTTCAAATACCTGCTGGCTCTTTGTATTCGCTGATTTTGGGCTAATTCTCATTTTGTGCAATGCCCTGTTCACTAGATAAGGTTTGGAATCAGGGGGAAATTTAGGATCAGCTTTTTAAAGTAAATCTGCCATAAGCTCAAAATGGGTCATCAGAGCAACTGAGTAAAACGGGATATTGAGAAATCTGATTTCTGACAGCAGGAACTGCTGTCAGCTGTAAGTTGCAATAAAACAAAGGTGTAGAATACATTTTTAACCAAAAGAAAATTTTGCTTTTAAGTTAAAGAACTTTTTTTTTTTTTCTGGTTGAGATGTAGAATAGCCTCACAAGAAAAGAGTAGAAAGATGTTTGGGACGTGCTAGAATTAGGTTGGAAACCACATGGGGAATCTTGAGTCAAACTCATGAAGTATTTCTTTAAATTGACAGCCACTGGAGTGACTTAAAACACAACAGTGCTTGATTGGACAAGTCCCTGATAAACCTGATCTAACTTTGAAGCAAGCCCTGCTTGAGTGGGGGGTTGCACTTGGTGAACTAAAGATACCTTGCAGTTCTGTAATTCAAGTTTTCTTGGTCACAGGGCTGGCAAATCCTTGAAGGACGAACAATGGGCAGGGCTAAAAATTCTCTATAGTGCAACTCAGAAGAAAATAATGACCTTTTTTCACTTAAAAATTAGCTTTATTTTGCGTAGATAATGATCCTGCTCTGAAGAATGTTAGGTTTAATCCCGTCTCTGCCATTTTTTGTTTCAGTATGAGAAAGAGTTTCAACATACAAAATAAAATTTACTGCCTCGCTGAATAGTACAAGCAAGATACCAGAAATTTCTCAGGGTTATTTTTGTACTTGTGGTAATTGTTTTTCTGAAGTGTAGTGCTGTGTGAGGACATTTGTGACAGGAGGTTATGACAAATGCCACATTAGTTTGGTTAAATGGGACCCAAAGACCCTGCGTGGTGCAGAGAGTCCTTACCTGGCTCAGGGGTCTTGATGATAATGCTGACAGGACTTAGTGCTGCCGGGTTCAAAATCACTGATTCATTGCTAGCAGGAGGCAGGTCTGCTTGCTTTAGATAAACTCTACCAAACACAGTTTTGGCATCATAGTTAGCACAGGCTGTCTGGAGAAGGATAAATAAGGGATGATATGACAGACTCCTTTGAGATTTTGCAGGCTGTTTGCACTTCAATGAGCTGTGCTTGCTGTTACGAAGGAAACTGTCTAAGCCTCTCGGAATTTGTTTTGTAGTAGGATATTAAATTGTCAATGTTAAATTCACGTGATTTGGGGGTTTATGTGTTTTCAGCAAGTGGTGGTGAGGAAAAGAAGGAGTAACTATAGGCATATTGTCATGTTAACCTTTCTTTATAAAATCCTTTTATGCCAATCATATCAGTCAAAACACTTGCTTCAAAAAATTATGTAACCCCCCCCAAATGTATCGCACCGTATTGACTTACTCCTGAAGGAGTGGCTCCCAGTTAAAAACTCGGACTTCAGTTTCCTTGTAAGTTGCTAACATTTGTAGTATTTCCCTAATGCTACTCTGCACAACTGACTTCATTTTTAAGCAAGTATTAGTGAGCCCTTGCATATCTCTAATACAGTTTGAGCATAAATTCTCTGCAGCAAACAAGATTCTCAAATCTGGCTTTAGACAATGTAACAAACTTAACTTTTGAGGGACTTGCATGAAAAACGCACTTGTTAACTTGTCTCACCTTCATTTGTTTTAAACAACAACATTTCATGCTATTACCCCACTTTACGTTTCCCACATACCGTAGGTTGTAATCATGGAGTTGTAAATGTAAATGAGAAGAAATTTCTTCTGCTGTTGGGTGTAATGTACAATTTTTTTGCTACAAGAAGCGTTGTTCACCATCACAGAAGTTTGTTATAATAGATGGGTCAAAGACATGAAGTTGGGATCTAGCCTTGTTTTCTTATGCTTTTGGAGAAGTTTAAAGTCAACGTCTTTGATTTAGGTCAGTCTCTAGATGTAAATGAAATACTGACAAACTGTTTTCTATTTTACCGTACAGAACAGCAGCGATCTCGAAGGCAGCGATGGTTGTGAGGATGATTCCGACTGAGCCAGTAAGCGGCTGGACGTGGGACCCTTACTGCTTGCAATTCCCGTTGTCTACAAAAAAGTGGCCTTTCTAAATCCAAGAATCCCGTAAAGCAGGGGTTTGTGCGCTTGCAGAACAAGAACTGGATGCCCAGGAGAAACTGGGTGGGGAAAACGGTGCAGTAGAAAAAGTAAAGGAGCCTTTTTATACCACTGACTGACTCACCTGACTGGTATACTTGAAAATAGTGTAACGTAAAATAAGCTTTCTAAAAGAATCTTGTAATGCAGGATATCTTAATTGCTATTTGAATAATGTTTTTATTATATGTTTACCTGGAAAATAGTATTTTAAGTATGTATAATCTCTACATAAAGATGGGGCAAATCATTTTAATATACTTTTTTTGATTATTATTATGAAGTTATGTCTCCATGAACTTTATTATTATTCTTTTCTTCACCTTTACTTAACCCGATCTCTAAACACCATTAAGCTTTTATTTTCCATGTCATCCGTGACTTTCCTGTGGAATAACATGCATGGGTTAGGAACTCCTTATCATGCTGACGGCTGTGAATTCTTTTGGTATTGAAACAAACTTTCTGTGTTGCCTAAAGCTTTGCAAGTCTAAAAGAAATGATTCCTTACTCAGTGAGAGGTCTTAACTTTGGGACGTGGACTGAACCACATATTTCAAGACAAGACCTTTTATTTGGGACCTGTCATCTTCCCAGTATTGCCCGCAGGCTTGGGCAGACTCAAGAACATAGATCGGCAGCTACGTGCGTAATTGGGCCTTTACCGCCTGAGGTGTCGTTTCACAGACCTGTAGTTGAGACGTGAGGAGAAGGTGTAAATTAATTGTTAGGACTGCAGTTCAAAGCGTGCAGCCATGAACGTTCTAGCGTTGCCTGTGGTGGATCACTAAATGTGTTGCTGCTGGTTTAGTATTTCTGGTTTTGGTGGAAACTGTCTGGCCATCTGCTAGATTCGGGATTGAATCAATTTAGCATGCGTGAAAGGAATGGTGCTGACTTCCTCTGGGCTTTAATCAAGTCTGCCTTCACTTTGTGTGTGTGTGAACTCTTACTTCCCATCAAGCTGCTCGGAACAGAGGAATGTGTGCAATGATGCAGGAAGCACATGTCTGAGGACTGTCTTCCTTTGGGAATCGATTTTAATTTTCTGTGTTTTGGAGATCTGCATACTCTGGAGTTCTTGCTCTCCTTTCCCCAACTGTGCTTTGACTTCTGGTTCTTGTTTGCAACTCTCCGTGGAGGTGGTGGAAGAAAAAACAGGTAAAGGCAGCAGCCTTCCTGTCCTCCCTGCCGGTAGAACACTTCTGGAAGGGGTGGAACAAGACTCTGCAAGCATTTGGGTATTAGTATGAGCGCTTGATAACGCTTCCCTAGCTGGGTCTGTATGGAGACTTGCTTTGTACTGCGGTGGTTATTGCATATGAGGGGTGAACTCTTTGCTCCTTCAATTGGTGGTTTCTGGCCAAAGCCTCCAATTTTATGGGTCCTTCTGGAATTAGTTTTTTTTTTTTTTGCCAGAGCGCAGCTGTCCCTTAAAAAGGGATTTGCTTTGTTTATTTTAGCTGGGTTTTAATTACTGCTTTTTATTTGACCATGAAGGCCTTGCTCTATTTTATCAGAGCAAGTGTGTAAAAGTGTTCTGGAGAGGGACTCGACCTAGATTTTCATTTATAGCCCTTGCTGGTTCATACTATTGACCTAATCTGCATTAGTCTTCTAGCCAAAGCTCTATCTTTCTATCCCTTTCAATCTGGAAAAAAACGCAACCTTTATTTGCTTATAATAAAGGCCCCAACACTGACATGTATCTCAGCTGAAATCAGTGGGAATTTCTATTTATAGCCTTTGGAGAAAACAAAATAATAATAATAAAAAAAGGTTATTTCTTACCTCTTGGTGTGCATGCTGTTTTGTTTTATGGGGATTATTAATTTGGTATTTCAGCTCCTGTTTCACTGCAGGAGCTGAGTAAAAAAAGTAAAGAATACAGAGGTGGTTTAAATTCTAAAACGGACTCTTTGAAAGGGTGCAAGGCTAAGCTGTGTTCTGGGGTAGAAAACGAAGATGGAGCGCTGTGCTGGGGGCAGGAGGCCGCTGGCGGGGGGGGCGGG